TTTGTTACTGTACACAGATGGGAACGTACAGGTCTTTTGTATTCATATGTTAAACTTTTGTAAATCACTAACAAGCTTCAGAACTAGATTTTTCACAAGAGTATTCAGAACATAACGTAGCGGCTAGGCTGTTGCTGTAGCTCCTGCTTCAACCACCATAGTTTTATCATGCCCTGAAAATGAAGCCTGCGACAGTATCTTCTATACTTCTGAATTGGTACAGTATTTTAGGCAGCTCTATGATTATATATATTTGAGAGCAATATGTCAATAGTTTGCAGGTGATATGTAGCAACAGGTATATCCTGATGTACAGTATATGTATTACCTTTTAGAACAGGTTTTGAAGTAGTAATTAAATCTTATTCATCATGGTAGGAAATTTTAAAGCAATACAGTTGAGGGGGTGGGGGCTTTTGGCAATAATGGACAAAAACTGAAGTCCGAGTTACTTTCAAGTTCTTTTCCTTTGAGTACAACGCATCGTATGGCTGGGTGGGAGAGAGCTGGAGGGGAGCTGAGCATCACATGATAAATACCTCACAAGCAGGTATAAGTATAACACCAGCGTTTTGTGTGGTGGTGTTGTTTTCCTGTAATATATTTATACACTTTGGTTCTTAAAGTACATTAAAGACAGTACGTTGGCATAATTTGTTTTCTGAAAGTGTATTTTAAATATGTATTTACAAGTTAATATGCAAATGACTGAGTTATAGATATTCCTTCACAAAGGTAGTACTGTCCAGTACGGAATGATTTTTTTTCATAAATAGTAGGTAAGACTATAAAATTGCTTTCAACTCTATATTTATGGTACTGCTAGATGGGGTAATAGCCTTCTCTTTTTTTTTGTTTTTCCTTTTCAACCCAGTATGTATATTATGCTGAAGTTTTGAACTGGGATTGTTTTTCAGTACTTAGCTGTGGAACTGTGGGGTATAAATTTATTTTTGATAAAGGCTGGATGTGTTTATTTTGTTTTTGCACAAAAGTCATTTTAAAGAATCTGAAATATATCTGCCAAATATTGAAAAAGTAATGGTGTGCAAGTGCAAGCAAATACTGCATTTTCGAGTCAAAAGTTGCCATTACATCCTTTTGTATAAAAGGACACTTGTAAGAGATGGTGGTTAGATACGCCAAGGACAATTATTTTCAATGGTGCCTACACTGTAAAAATTACTTTTAACTCCTTGTTTTAATTTTAAAGAAATGTTTCTGTTGAAAACGTTCATCTGCTCTATAACTGAAACTCAATTAGAATTTATATCTGAGAAAAAGTCTGGAAATAGTTTTTGAAAACAATAATGTTATGGATTAAATAAATATTTTTATAAATGTAAAAGCAGCAAAAGTTGTAAATACAGTTGATCTGAAGCTTTACAAAATAACTGCATCACAGAAACAAATTGTAGTGCTCCTATAGCTTATGTAGTTGTTAGTCCTGTAAATCTGTTGATAGATTAAGCTTATTTCATTGGTTTTTTGGGGGGGAGGGGTTAAATGGTTTAAAAATAAATATTTAAGTTCTGTAAACTTTCATGAAACTGCTTTGTTGTGCATTTTATTTTGGATTTAAGTAATGTGCATAAATATTGACCTACCTTTTTCCAGCTTAGTTTGCTACTTTAAACAAAACTTCTCCTTCTACGGGGACACACGTATAGTTTGGGGAAGTGTTTCCTCTCTGCTGTCCTTGTCCAAAGGACGCCTGCCAGCCTTATTCAGCGTGGAACGCAAGCTATGTGGAGCAGCTCCAGGGTTCAGTTGATCTCCTGCTGAAAGAGCAGTCTCTTAGTCCTCCAGCATGCAGTCATACAGCGCCAGTGACAATTGTAGCCATGTCAGTGTGTCCCAGCGGTGTTGTGAACTCCTAGTTCAGATTCACGATAAAGAAAGCACTGTGCCACAGTCGACTCTTACCTTGTGCAATCTCATCGCCAAAAGCCTCGCTTCAAACGCCAACAGGTTTCTTTCTCAGAATTAAAATCCTTGTGTCTTGAATTCCATGTCACTTCCTCTCAATGAAGTGCTTTTTTTATGGGGCCAATGGAAAAACGACACAAACGACTTGAATTTTGTAACTGGGGGCTACATCTTCTTGAAGCACGGGGCTTTAATCTATGCAACTGCGAGCGAATCCTTTGGGTGGCCAGAGCAGGGAGTGCACAGTTGGGGAAACAGAAATCTATTCCTGCCTCAGCCTGCCCCGTATTTGCTGTGTGACCTGAACCAAGTCACTTGAACTCCTGTGCCTCCTTTTTCCTTGGGAAATGGGTATGATGCTTACCTACCTCACGGGCATGTTGTGGGGCTAGATGTATTCTTGTTTATAAAAACCTTGTTACTATCTAGTGCTGTCCTAAAGAACATAGCTGTACTGTATCACAGGTGGGATTTGCTCTGCTGAAGCACTATGCGTCATATAAGAATCTATTTTACTTCTTACTATGAATGGATGCCCTCATTACAGTTTTGTGAATCATTGTTCCCCCCGCCATGCATTAGGTATTGACCAACCATAACTTAATCAGCAGTATTAAGTAGCTGACCGAAGAATATATCACAGCATTCATGCAGGGACCATCTTCTAGCTTCTCTCCCAGCTGTGCATTGAGGAAAATTGACATTTTTAGTCATTTAGGAAAATAATACGAAATGCGGGTTAGAAACATATGTGTTTTGTTCCTGGGTATCAGACTCCTCTGTCATTGTAATCGCTGTTCCTGAAACCTCTCAATTCTACTTGTCTCCAATTTTTTCCTCCAACAAGGTTCTGTACAGTGTACACGTACTAAGAGTAAAAAAACTGTTCTTACATTCAAGTGAATGCTTAGTGAATAGAAAGTACATAGATTCTTGATGTGTTTGCACAAAGTTTAGCCATTGTTAAAGGCCTGGCTTTATCACGCTGTTACATGATTTAACACTGGAATAAAATTGTTTTCCTCTTTGCAAAGCTACTCTTAGTATGTATGTTGGCTTACCGATTTTCATAAACAAGGTTTAATTTTAAAATATGGAAGCATATTATGTGCAGTCTAGATCATTTGAATTGATGACTGAACCCCCAAACACCCTTAAACCTTACTGCAGCGTTGTGTAAAAGTTGTATCTTGTGACTTCCCCATGTAGGCGTCTGAACTAAAGGTCTGTTGGGTCTTTTGCTGCTAATCTTGGAATTTTAAATACTTCTGTTAAGCAGGGGGTATATTTGGTAACCTCAATTAAACCAATCTGTTTCCCTCTGAAGCAGCCCGTCTCCATGCATCCTACTTTATTTTGCACAGGCCCATTGATAACAAAATAGGCTGGTGTGTCCTTGTTCCCCCTCGCTCAGTGTTGGTTCTGTGGATAGCAGCTGTCAAGGTCACCAGCCCTTCTCTTGCATTTAAGTGCTGGGCATCCTGCCTGGATTACGGACAGGAGGCCAGATTATCCTGGCTCCTGAGGGATGGAGGGGATCAGAAGCCTGCAGACTGTGCCCAGTTGGCAGGGCAGGAGTGGGGATCAATCCTGTGCTCCTAGGGGGGAGAGCAGGATCAACTGAAACATGTTCTAGGTGGGTTTCCAGCCTTTTTTTTTTCCTTGTTGTAGTGTTGGGGGATAAGGCCTCATCAGCTTCCCCTTCCTGGTGCCTTTTCTCATGCACTTGGAGTGGTCCAGGGTGTTGTAAACTGCTGCTGCTTCATCCTATGCACTCCTTGGTGCTACAGCAAGCAGTGGGGAGGCTAACAGGCAGTGGAACCCAGGTCACAAGTAGTCATGGCATTCCCCAATTTTGGGAATGAGAAACCCTCCCCATTGCACCTCTTTAAGTATGATCTCTCACCTTTCTGCCTCTGCCTCTTTGTGCTGCCAGGTCCTATTCTGTCTGCTAGGGACGGAGATGTGGCTGCAGCACTTGTGTTTCCCTGGGTGTGCCCTGTGCCCGAGAGGCACCCACCCTTTGCAGAACAATGAGCAGGAAGCTGCAACGCCTGGGCATTTGCCGTGCCGGTTCCAGCAAGACTGGTTTGACTCCGCTGTGGCTGGAAAGTGAAAACCAAAAAAGCAGAGAAGAGGGTGGCCTTTCTGTGATGCATTTATTGTCCATCTCGAGCAGTAGCACAAAGAACAGAGTGCCACAAATACACCTAGGGAAGGTGCTACCCTGTTAGCCAGGTTGTCTCTCTGAATTGAGTGCGCTCCCAGCAAACCGTAGGAGGATGGCCTGGCTCTCCTCCCCTAGACCGAAGTGGCCCCTGTTACAGTCAAGTCCAACAGACTTCTGTGTGTGTGCAGATGTACAGAATCCAGCAGCTTGAGGTCCCTCTCAGTTTGGTTCTGCAGCTCCTTCCCCCTCCCCCAAAAGGTGTCATTTGGTTTTGTGAATCCCTCTTCCCTCCACCTGTGCCTGCTAAGTGTTGGCGCTACTCAAATGCTTGAGAACTTGCATTTTTATTTCAACTAAACAGCAACCTGCTGTGCACAGCTGTTTGCATACATGGTGCTTCCTCTTCTCTCTCAACCCGTCTGATCCAGGAAAAATGGGGAAGGAAGGATGGGTGTGCAGCTGGTTACAGCCACCTTTCCTCCTCCTGTAAGTTGTATGACTTTATGGAACAAAGAGCCTCTCTTCTTTCAAGGCATTTTGGTACCAATCTCCCTTGGAGGGTAGCACTGCTTGTGCACTGGTGTCTGAGACATGAGCCTTGCTGTCTTCTGCGGCCGGAGCTGGGCTGCAGGTCCTGAGCTGAAGTGCTTGACCACAGGACTTGCAAGCAGCAGTCTCCAAAATGCACCTATTGGAAATGGTCCCCAGTGGGTGTTTACTTCCCCCGTGCCCTCACATAGACACCTGGAGGGTGGGAGGTAATGCAGATCCATGGGCTTGGGTTTCTGTGCAGCTGCCCCTGCCTACTTATGATGCTGGGAATACCCCAGACAGCTCCCAGGACAGCCATGATGAGGCAGAGGACTCTCCCCCCGTCCGCCCCCACACTGCTCGAGGCCCTCAGCTCCCTTGCAGGTCCTCTTCTTTCAGAGGGGGCTTCATCTGCATCTCCCCACCGTCCTGGCAAAGTGCAGAAGCAGAGCCCTTTCTACTCCTCTGCACAGCCCCAAGGGTCACCAGGAACCTGAGCCCAAGCCCGAGTGCATGTGGCTTGTGGCAGTGGCTGCTGCCCTAGAAGCAAAGGGGTCTGGATAACGCCTTGCCGAGGGTGCAGTGCTGAGGAGCAGGAGGTGCAGGGTAGGGTACAGGACTGAAGGTGGGGTGGGGGTGTTGCTGTTCTCTTCTTTCCAGGGAGCCCAGGGGCAGGAGGATCCTGTTAGGTGGAAGGCAGAGGGCTGGGGCCAAGGGAGCTGGGATTTAGCTCCTCTTGGAACTGGAGCCAGCAGAGCGATGCCAAGGTGGGAACTGCTCGAGGACCAGGCAGCGGGCAGGTTTGCAGGGGATGCAGGGTAGTCATAGGGCTTTAACCCAGACACTTGTGCAGCCCCACACACCTCTGCCTTTCTTCAGGACGAGCTCTTTCTCGATGCATCCACATCTGAACGCAAACTTCTGCCGCTCTCATCAATGCCATCATCTCTCGGCTCCTGGAGCCAAAGCAAACTATCACACCTGCGCCTCTCGATGCTTTCCACCACGACCAGCAGCAGGAAGGGCATGGGGGTCTCCACCACGCAGGCTCCCTGCAGCTGGTACGGGGCCGGGGCAGGAGGGGGGAGAACATGCCAGCTGGGACACGAGGAGTGGGTGCTCTGCGTGGCCCTCAGTACCACATCCTCTACAGCTACTTGCACTTGCACAACACCAACAACCCACCAGCTTCTGCCCTGTCTGCCCCTTAGGTGTAATAACTGGATGGGCCAGGTGCCGTCCTGCTCTCAGGACCGCCCGTGGCCGCGGCCACCTCCTCGTCCTCCTCATCCAGCTGGAGACTGCCCGAGGACAGTCGCACACGGGCCAGGGGTGATCGCATCACCCGCCCGTACAGCACCCCGTAGTCGGTGGCCAGCAGGTCAGGGTCAGAGTCGCTGGACTCGGTGCCGCTGCCCACGTACCGCTCTGGGGGGGGTGGCGGGGCCAGCACATACCGCAGCACCGTGCCCTTGCGGCTGGTGAGCGCAGGGCAGGGGCCGAGCGGCCGAAACTCTGAGCCGTAGGGGAAGCGGAGGGTTTTCATGTCCGACTGGCTCCACGACCGCTTGGGCGGCTGCTCCTGGATGCCGTAGTCAGCGCCGCCCAGGGCACCGCTCTCCTCCTCCTCCTCCTCGGGGCTAATGCTGCTGCCACCCAGTTGGGCCGGCGGCTCCAGCATAGGCTCCCACATCCTGGCCAGGCTCGGGCTTCGCTTGGAGGGCCTCGCGGACGTCTTCGTGGCCCCTTCGGTGGCAGCCAGCGTGGGGCTGAATTGCGGCAGTGCCGGAGGCCTGTCCACGTAGAAGAAAACCTGTGGGGCCATGGGCTCCGGGGCCACGTAGGGCACGTCGGTGTAGGTTAGCGGGCAGGCGGCTGCCTCGCGCATGTTGCCCACGGACGTGCTCTTGCCATGGCTGGGCTGGAAGGAGGTGAGGGGGCCCCTTGGGCCCAAGGCCTCGGCAAGCTCCCAGTCGCGCTCGCGCTCCAGCTCGGCGTAGACCCAGGGGAAGGCCGCGCTGCTGCAGGAGTGGGGCAGCCGCGCAGGGTCGGCCTCAGGCCGGGAGCGCTCCAGCTCGGCCGTGAAGGTCACCTCCACCGCCGAGTTGCGGCGCCGGCTGTCCAGCGTGGGCGCCGAGGCGTGTGCCCCGTTGGCCGCCCGGTAGCAGCCCCGGCTGCTGCCATAGGCCAGGTGCAGGTCCTCCACCTGGGGAGACAGGCAGGTACATGTCCTCAGCCACTGAGCCCTCACCTCCTATCAGCCAAACACACGTGTGTGTGTGTGTGTGTGCAAACACGTGCATACACACGCACAGAACTCCATTTTGTGCATGCATTCATGGGCTTTCTCAAATGTGCATGTGTACACAGAGCACTCTTGCCCACACGCATGTACACGCACAGAGCTGGCTCAGTTGCTCTTTGTCATACGTACGCACACATGCACTGGCATAAATACATGGAACTTGCTCACTTACTTTTTCTCACACATGCACATACACAAACGCACTGAGCTGTCATGCGCAGAGTGCTCATGCGCACACACACTATGTCTCAAACATACACACGTGCACAAATGCACATGTATGTGCAGCCCCTGTCTCCCCCCACCACCCGCAAGGTAGCTCAACCAGAGGGCAGCTGCCTTGGTGCAGAGCCTCACTGTGAGGCTGCATCGGTGTGTGTGGGGGGGAGTTTTCAGGAGCAGGGCCTCCTTTCTCCCTGGGGATTTGAGCACCTCGCTTGCCCTAGAGGCCCACAGCATGCATGTGTGTCTGCAACATGCACGTGAGAACAAGTGCCATCCATGTGCAAGCGAGATCCATGTATGTGTGTGTGTGCATGCACATGCATGAGTATGAACAAGTTCTGTGTATGCTTGTGCATGCATGCATGAGAAAGAGAGCTCCATGTGTGATAGCTCTGTGCATGTATGCAAGAGGGAGAGCTCCATGCGCACATCCGTGTGTGTGTGTGTGTGTGTGTGTGTGTGTGTACATGCATGAAGTGTGTGTGTGTGTACAAAAGCTCTGCATGTGTGTGCGCATACATGCAAGAGCTCCATGTATGTACTTGTGCCCTGTGTGTTTGTGTGCACGTATGTGCGTACGTGGGAGCTCTGTGTATGCACGCGTACATGTCCACTAGTTCTGTGCATATGTGTGTGTGTGTGTGTGTGTGTGTATGCACAAGAGCTCTGTTTGTGTGTGTGTATGCATGTGCATGAGAGAGCTGTCTGGGAGACAGAGCTCTGTATGCACGTGTGCTCATGTATGTGTATGTATGCATATGCATGGGTGTGTGCGTGTGAGTGA